CGAATCAGGTCCTTGGACACGCGCAGGAACAGGCGTACCTGAAACAGATTGCACACACGCGTGTCAAAGAAGGTGAGGAACCCTTCGACGAGGAGGATATGAACGTGCGAAGCACGGCGTCCGTCGCGAGTAATGCGCACAGGCGTTGTGCGGGGTGCGTGAAACTTGGTGCGCCATGCGGCGAGAAGCGAGGGCGGCAGAGTACATTGGTAGTTGCTGCGGCGGTACTCGTGCGTCTCAAAGTCATCCGGAAGTTTGTTGTGCTGGTAAAAATACGTAATGACACGCTCCAAGCGTCGGTAGTCGGACTGGGGTAAGTGGTGCGTGGCGACGTACCGAGCCGTGTGGTGTGTCCCAGTCGGTAACCTTCCACGTCTCGTTCCAGGGCATTTGGTCCTGCGGAGGACAAAAGTCGTCCTGGTGCAAGACGTGCACGGAGCGGATCGGGGATGCGGCGGCTTCAGCCGCGTCCGTGGGCGGCTGCAGGAGAGCAAGCAAGTTTTGGACGACAGTCGACTTGCCCGAGCTTGTCGGGCCGCTGCGTGTGAGGCGTGCGATACGTACCCAATTCCGATGACGAGCACGTCCTCGGACGACATGGTCGCGGCGCGCGGGGCAATGGCCCGATGACCCGATCTGGAGCTATCTCGCTATGTCTTTTGCTTCTTGATCTTGGGCTTCTCGTCCTCCTCCTCGGCGAACTCGGCGTCGTCGTCGTCGCTGGAAGCCTCAGAAGGACTGCCGCCGTCGTCAGACGACTCGTCCTCAAAGTCCTCGTCTTCTGCGGGGTGAGTGAGGGAGACCTACCTTCTTCGTCGTCGTCGTCGTCGTCGGGGAGCGCCTTGGACTCGTCGTCCTCGTCGAGGAGCTCGTCGACGGCCTTGCCCATGCTTGCAGCATCGTCTGCAAGCTCGTTCTTTATCCGGATCTTGCGCTCGGCGAAGAAGTTGTTCAGGCTGTCGAACTCCTCGCGGTTGATCGACTGGAAGGTATGGTCGCCGCCGTGGCGCGTCTCGACGCGGAGGTCGAACGTCTTGGCAGACGCCACGGCGCCACCCACGCGGCTGAACACGAGCTGGTAGACGTCGCTGTAGGGCACGAGGATCGTCTGCTTCGAGACCCAGATGAGGCTCTTGTTGAGCGGATAGAGCGTGCCGTCGTTGGCCTTGACGTTGCAGCGCACGCTCTCCTGGCCGATGCTGCTGGTGAAGCCGGTGGGCACGTTGACCTTCTGCTGCGAGAGCACGCGGAAGAGGTTCGTGACGATGCGGAAGGTGGGCTCTTCGTACCGCTTCTTGAGTTTGCCCTCGTACTTGGTCTGGATGGTGTCCTCGTCGAGGTTGAGCTCTGCGTCCATCTCCTCCTCGCGCGGGAACTGAAGCACGAGGAAGGGGTAGCGCGTCTGGCCCTGGCGGATCGGCGGCTCGAGCGCGATGACGAAAAGAACGTGGATGTCGTCGGGCTTCGGGAGGAGGAAGAGCTGCGTGATTGAGCTGTAGAGGATCTTGTAGTCGTACGTCTTGCCGCGCAGGCGCAGGAACTCGGGGAAGAGATCGATATCGTAGCGGCCGCGGGGCGTGAGGACGAGCACTTCCTTGAGGACGAGGATGCCGTCGCCGGCGACCTGGCCGATGTCCGCCTTGGCCTTGATGGCGTTGTGGAAGGCGGTGGCGGCGCTCTCCTCCTCTTCCTCGTCCGCTTCCTCGTCGTCGTTGACGGGCTTCTTGACGTCCTCCTCCTCGTCCTCGCGCTCGATCTGGCCGGGGATGTAGAGGCGCATCTCGACGAGCTGGTCGGGGCGGTTTCTCTTGGGCCCGTTGAAGGGCAGGCCGCCCGCGCCCGACGATGCGCCCGTGTTCTGCTCGGGCTGCTGTTCCTTGGGGTTGAGGAACTCCATCGAGACTTCGGTGCGCCCGGCGATGTTGCTGTTGGCGATGTTCGCGAGCGGGAGTGCGAACGCGAGCTTGTTGCGTACGACAAACTTCATGTCGCGCTCGTCGACCTCGGCAGAGCCCCAGTTCCAGCCGCGGAGCGACAGCTCGAGGACCTCGAGCGGCTTGTCGTAGCAGTCGCGGACGACGGTCGCGAGGCGCTCGTGGTCGTCGCGCTGGAAGTTTTCAAAGGTCGCGAGGTGTGCGCTCTCGTCGCTCTCGTCGCCCTTGAGCTCGATGCGCAGCTGGAAGTTGCGCGCGACGCTGGGTGAGATGGGCCAACGTACCGGCACCAGGCGAAGCCGACGATCTGGTCGGCGGGGATCGTGACGGTGGCGCCCTCGTCGAGCGGCTTCCAGCCAAGACCCGCGTTCGAGAAGCGGATCTTGCCCAGCGCCTTGCCCGCTCCGTGGTACACGTTGTCGAACTGGGTCGTCATGGCGCGGAACAAGCGCGACGCGTCGCGGCGCTTAGTCAGCTATGGCAGGTACAGGCGCGAGAAGGCCGCGACGGGCGCGCGGCAGGTGGGGCACAGCTGCGTGGGCCGCCCGCCCGAGCCCTGCAGCGAGAGCAGCGCGTGCTGCTGCGCGACAAGCGTGCTGCGGCAGCTCTCACAGAGCGCGACGCACCGGCACGGCCAGCACAGGATCGTGCGCTCCTCGGTGCAGCACACGACGCACAGGCGCAGGCGCTCGCGGTCGGCGTCGCTCGGTGCGTGCGCGCGCATCGCAGCGCGGCGCTCGCGGAGGAGGCCAAGGAGCGCCGCGCGCATCGCGCGGTCCGCCGCGTCCGTGGGCGCGAAGCCCGCGCGCGCCGACAGCGTCTGGAGCCACGTGTCGCGCGCGGGCGGCGCCTGCGTCGCGAGCTGGTGGTAGGCGCGGCGCGTGAGCGGTGGCGCGTGGTCGGGGCGCACGATGTGCTTCACGAGCACGTCCTGGAACGCGGTGCGTGCGTTGCCCTGCGCCTCCTCGGCGAGCGCCACGAGCTCGAGCGGGTCGAGGTCGTCGTCGAGGTCGTCGTCGCGTGCGGCGCGCGCCGAGCGGCGGCGGCGGAGCGCCTGCAGGCGCGCATGTGCATTTTCGGCGGCGTCGCGCTGGGCGGCGTCGCGGGCGAGGCGCGCGGCACGCGCCGCCTCGCCGTTCGTGCCGTGCCAAAAGAGGCGCACGTAGCGCGGCACGTGGCGCACTGCGGCGGGCGCCGGGGGCAGGAAGCGCGCGACGGACGCGCCGGCGGCGCGCAGGAGCGCGTAGGCGACCTCGAGGATCGTGTGGAAGAAGGCGCTGACCGCGCGCATTTTGTCGGCGCCACGCACGACGCCGCCCATCTCGACGCCCGCATGCTCGAGGACGACGCGCACGTCGCGGATCTCGTGCTCGAGCGGGTGGCGGCCGTGCAGCTCGATTGCCTCGAGGTCCTCGACGCTGTGCTCGATCGTGGTGCGCCCGTCGGCGTGGAGCTCGACGTAGGTGTGGAGCGGCGCGTCGAGCGCCTGCAGCTCGCACGAAAGGCCCGTGAGCTTCGTCGCGTGGAGGCAGGCGGTGCCGAGCTTGAGCACCGCGAGCGAAAAGTCGTCGGTGCGCCGCGGGAGGCTGCTGCGGTGGAACACGAGGCGGTGCAGGTCGATGCGGCCGTCGACAAAGTACATCGTGAGCGCGTGCAGCGCGACCGTCAGCAGGATGATGCCGACGACGCACAGCTCCATCAGGCGGCTGCCGCTGTGGATGATCGGGTACTCGTCAGAGCACGCCGCAGTGTATATGTAGTGCACGGTCATCGCGATGTTCAGCACCATGGTGAACGTCAGGCGCGAGACGGCCGGCGGACTGCGACACAGCAGCACGTTCATGCCGAGCAGCTCGACAATGCGCGCCGTGACGATGAGGTAGACGTGCGCGTTCGGCGAGAACTGCCGCGAGTGTGAATGGAGGTACAGGATGAAGCCGAAGCCCACGAGATTGAACGTCGACGGGTCGTCCTGTGCGCTGCTGCGGGTGAGTGGGCGACGTACGTGAGCTCCAGCGAGCGCACGGCGGTACCGACGCACTGTGCGACGCACGCACTCAGCAGCGCGAGCCACAGCAGTGCGTCGGGCTGTGGTGGCTGCGCGGCGCGCGGCACGAGCACGCGGAGGTATGCAAGCCACGCCTGGGCCGAGGCCGTGGTGGTGTCTGCGGCGAGTGCCTGGAGGAGGCGCAGCAGGGCGTACGCGAGCATCCCGATCGCCGGGAGCCGGAGCATGGTGCGCTCGAGCGTCGAGATGCGCGCGGGGCGGCCGTACGGCGTGCAGACATGCTGGATGCGATTCGTGATGATCACCTGCGATCAGTGCCGCGACGTACCATCACGACCATGGCGATCGCATAGCGCGAGAGGAAGAAGTAGATAGGGCTGTCGGGCAAGATGCGCGGCGACTCGTCCGCCGCCGCGGGCGGCACGGCGTGCATGGGCACTGGATCGGACATCGGCGCAACCCCACACTAGCACATGCTCTCTCGGCAGAGAAGGCGCGCCACCGGGTGGAGGTCTTGGGGGCGCCGCCGCAGCGTGCGGGCTACGGAAACGCTATCGTACAGCACGGCGGGTATCGGTTAGTTTTCGCGCCACTGGAATCCACACTCCTGTTTGGTGCACTTGAAGAACGTGGTCACTGGCATAAGCGGCCGCGCGGGCATACGTACTCGGCTCGTCGGCAGACCGGATCTGCAGCTGCATGTAGTAGGCGCGCCCGTTGTCGCACTTGGGACACGTCGCTGGCAGTCAGCAAAGCGCAGGGAGACGTACCGTCCGTGCTGTCTACGTTCTTCCAGCTGTCCTCGCCGCCCATCACGTCGTCCACCTGCTTGCGCTCGAGGCGGACGCGCGACGTGACTTGCCGCGTCATGGGGAACTCGAACGGGCACGTTGGGCACGTCCACTTGTTCTCTCCGGTGCTCGACGACGGCAGCACGGTCACGACGTTGGCACAGTTCGGACAGAAGAGCATGCGACGGTGGCAGGAAAAACGACGCGGTCACGAAGCTGGCGCTGGCGCTCTTGTACGCTTTCCAGCAACTCCCCAGCACGAGCCACGCTCCTATAGCTCAGCTGGCAGAGCGCAAGACTGAAGCATATTTGCCTTCATTGGATCCAAAGTCCTTCTTGAGGTCACCTGTTCGAACCAGGTTGGGAGCACTCTTTTTTTAAATTCAAGTACGCCCTTGCACCCGTTTGTAGATGGCCGGCTGGAGCGAGCTGGCAGTTCCGCGCTCCTATAGCTCAGCTGGCAGAGCGCAAGACTGAAGGAAACCCTTCAAAGATTTCAACAGTCATTCTTGAGGTCACCTGTTCGAACCAGGTTGGGAGCAATATTTTTTTTTTGTCCGTGCGCCATGTGCATCGTGGTATGGGCGACCGAGCACCCGGACTATAGTCTGTAGGTGGTGCGCGCCTAACGCAGGATCGTGGCCAACAACCGGGACGAGTTCCTTGCGCGAGCCGCGTCGCCTGCGCGCTGGCGTGCCGCGGACGACGACGGGGAAACAGGCGATGTGCTCTGTGGACGCGACACGGAAGCCGGCGGGACGTGGTTCGGTGTGACGCGTGCCGGAAGTGTCGCCGCGCTCACCAACTTTACGGAGCCCGCGAGTGCGCGTGCCGCGCGGCCTGCGGCGCGTTCGCGCGGCGAGCTAGTCTCTGGTTTCCTGCATGCGCACGCGCGAGATGTGCCGACGGCCGCGGACGTGCAGGCGTATTTGGACCGAGTCGGAGCGCATGCGGACGAGTACGGCGGGTTTAACCTGCTTGTGGGGACGGCTGCGGGAGTGTCGGCGCTCGGGTACGTGACGAACCGCGGCGAGGACAAGCAGAGCGGCACGCTGCTGGGTACGGGCGCCTCGGGCGGAGTGTGCGCGCTGAGCAACAGCACGCTCTCCACGCCGTGGCCCAAGATTGGGCGTGTCGAGGCGCTGATGCGCGGCGTGCTGTCCGAGAGTGCGACGCGCGACGCGCTCGTCGATGGGCTCTTTCGTGTGCTGGCCGACTCGCGTGGCCCGATCACGACGCCGGCGGCGATGCGCGAGACGGTGCGTGTCGAGCCGGTGAGCCTGCCGAGCACAGCGGACCGGGCGCACTTTGCGCCGGCCGCAGAGGCGGTGCGGCCGGATGTGCCGCGTGGCTGGTACGGCACGCGCACGGCGAGCGTGCTGCTGGTGACGCGCGGTGCGCCGCGGCGTGCGGTGTTGGTCGAGCGCGACGTGTATGCGCTGCGTGGCGACGCGCCGCCGGTGCTCCTGGACTATGGCGAGGCGCAGGTGCGTGCGGAGCACGAGCGGCAGTTTGAGTGGACATTACACGAGAACTAGGTGCGGTGGACGGTGAGGACCGCGACGCGGCCGTCGATGGAGATGTTGTGGTTGATGCCTGCGTGAGCGGCGCGACGTACTCTGTTTGCCGGCGGGGAGCAGGCCGTCGACCCACTCGACGGATGCGTGCCACGAGCGCCCGCCGAACGAGCCGCCGTGCTTGACGGCGGCGACGAGGAGGTTGCGGCCGACGTCGTAGCCGTTCGGCACGATGGTGTGGTGCTCGGCGGCGGACTGGACGGGTGAGCGGCGCACGTACCTCTTCCTTGGACACGGCGAGGAACCACGCGCCGGTGTTCGCCGCGGTGCCGTTCTGGCGCCAGACGCGGAAGTGGTTGCCGCCCGCGAGGCTTTCCCAGCACGCGCCGACCCATGCGCCGGGCGAGCCTGGGTAGATCAGGCTGCGGTACTCGAACAGCTGCGGCACCCAGCCGTTGCCGTCGCCGAGGTTGGCGTGCTGCAGGCCGCCGAGGTGGATGTGCAGGCACTCGAACGAGAAGCCGATCGAGCGTACATAGTCGAGCAGGCCCTGCTCACTGAGCACGCTCCTGTCCGAGTTGCCCGAGATGATGACGTTGATTGGCTCGCGGTACCCGTTGCCGACGACGTCGAGCATGCTGCCGCCGCGCGCGGCGGGGCGTGCCCACCCCTTGCCGCCGCCGCCGTGCCCGGGGTGCACCGTGTTGTCGAGCGACACGCGGTTGTACACCGCGTCGGGGTCATAGTGCGCGAGCTGCGACGGGTCGTTGTGCGCGATGCGGTGTGCCTCGCCCGCATGCACGCGTGGGATGTCGGGGCTCACGATGTGCGCGTGTGCGACGCCGTGCGCCGCGCTGTGCGCCGCGCCGAGCGCCGCGCCGAGCAGGGCGGCCCAGCCGAGGAGCCCGTGCATGGTGGAGGAACACGTGCGTGCGCACGGAGCACACGGCCTAGAGCTACGAAAGCGGGAGTTTGGGCGGGCGCGGCGGCGGTGCAGACGCCGACGAGGCGTGCGGCGGCGGCGGCGGCGGCGGCACGGACGTGGCCGACGGCGCGGCCGAGGCCGCAGGCTCCTCGTCGGCCTGTGCATAGAGGTGCTGGAGCCGCGACTTTTCCTCGACGGCGCGCGCCTCCGACTTGGTCAGGTACGGCGACGAGGCTGGCGGTTCCGACACGCCAGCGGTCGTCGGCGTGACGACGAGCTGCACGGGCGGCGGTGCACGTGTCTCGGTGCTTGTGGGTGCCGTGACCGTCGGCGCCGGCGCGTCTGGCGTGTGTACCGGCGCGTAGTCGCGTGCGGACACCGACGTGGCGGGCGCAAGCGTCGATGGCGCGGGCGCAGGGATGTGTGCATCGGGCATCTCGGCCGCGACGATCGACGGGTCGTGCTGGTGGTACTCGGCGACCTCGTTGCGCGCGCGTTCGTAGAGCGCCGCCTTTTCGTCGGCCGCCGTGGGGTAGGCACCGGCCGGCGGGGCGCGTGCGGCGTGTGTGGCGGCGGCCGGCGGGGCATACGCGGCGTGTGTAGCGGCGGCCGGCGGGGTGTGCGCGACGCCCGTCGCAGCGTCGGCCTGGGCGGCGGTGCTCCGCGCCGGGATGGACTCGGTGGCGGGCGGCGGCATGGACGCCGCGGCGGGCCCCGCAACAGTCCCTCCTAGGGTCGCTCCCGCGGCGGGCCCCGGAGCAGCCCCGCCCGGGGTTGCCGCTGCGGTGCCTGCTGCCTCGGACGGGAACGAGGCGCCATTCTCGTAGCCGCTCTGGTACTGCTCGGCCTCGGCACGTGCGCGCTCAAAGAGGCGCACCTTTTCCGACTCGGCAGACTCAAAGCCGCGTGCCGGCGGGCGTGCAGACGGGAGCGCGGACGGCGGGCGTGCACGCTCGGCGGCGCGCGGCGAGGCGATGCCGCGTGCGTCGGTGCGCGTCGGGGACGTCTGCAGGTTCTGGCGCGAGACACGTACGGGCTCGGCAAACGTCGGGGACGCGGCGCCGCGGCGGTCGCTGTGTGGCGAGCCGGGGTACAGGAGCGACGCGGAGCGGCTTGCGGGCCGCGGCGCGGGTGCGACGCCGCCCTCGAACGGGAGGAGGTCGCCGGGGCGCACGGAATTACTCGGGAGCTGCATGAGTGTGGCCTGTGCGGCGACCGATGCCGGGCGTGAGGGGCGCATCGCGAGGTCGGGCTCGCCGCGCGACGCTGCGTGTGGGCTCGCGTTCTCCGCCTGGAAGACGAGCGGCCCGCGCGGCGTGGCGGTGCCGAGGAATGCGGCGTCGCTCTGGAGCTGCGGGATGCTTGCCGAGTCGTCGACGAGCATGCGCTCGTACTGGTCGTAGCGCCCGCGCGGCGGCTGCAACGGCGACGTGGGCGACGCGGGCGTCGCGGGCGTCGCGGGCGAGGCGCCGAGCGTGGCGCCCGGCGCGGCGACGGCGGACGGCGGCTCGGGCGCGTATGCGTCGGTCGGCGCCTCGTTCTCGAGGCACAGTGCGGGCACGGAGCCGATGCGCGCGACCGTCGCGGCGCTTACGCTCGAGGGGAATGCAGAGATCTGGAGCTTGAGGCGCTCGAACACGACGCACTCCTTGCCGATGTCGACGGCGACGCGGAGCGAGTGGGTGATTTCGATGTGCTTGGCGGTGCTGACGGACATGAGCGTGCGCGACTTGGGGACGGTCACCGAGAGGTCGTACATGAGGAACTCATCGGGGTTGACCTTCTTGCGGATGCTGCGGTTCTTCTGGGCGATGAGCTCGGAGCGCTGCTGGACGGTGCCGGGGGCGCCGTCGGCGGTGGTGTCGCCCTTGGCTTGCGGGAGGTAGGTGACGGTCTGGCGGACGCCGACGCCGATGCTCTTGAGCTTTGCGGGCGCAGGTGCCTTGCTGTACACGATGACGCGCACGTCGACGCTGTCGAGTGCGGCGTACGACTGCTTGTTGCGGAAGAGCCGCACGCGGAACGGCCCCGAGGTCTCCTCGAACTCCTCGGGCACGCTGGGTGAGCGGGCGGGTCAACGTACTTGTACGCGGGCCACGTCGAGTGCAGCTCGTGCTTCTCGAGGAAGACGCTCTGTGCATCGCGCACGATCGACTTGACCAGCTGGCGGCGCAAGAAGCCCCTGCGTGAGCGGTGCGACCTACTTCTTTCCGCGCACGCACAGCGTCGCGATCAGCTGGTACGTGATCCCGCCGTGCTTCTCCAGGCGGAGTGTCGCGGGGAGCTTCTCCGGGATCGGCACGCGGAACGCAAAGCTGCGCTGCGGTGAGCCACGGCACGTACCGCCGGGAGGTGCGCCCAGGTCTCGCCGTCGGCGTGGGCGCCGCCCTCGGCGGTCCACACGTCCATCGGCCCCTGCCCGATGAGCTCCGTCCAGGACTCGCCGGAGGGCAGCGTCTCGGTCTTGGCCATCTCGACGCGGAGCCAGGCGGCCTCGATGGGCTTCTTCGCGCCCGCCTGCACCTCGATCGTGCCCGAGAGGTGCGCGGGCGGGCGCGTCTCGGACGGCGGGATGCCGGGGTAGCCCTGCAGGAAGCCCCGGTTCGGCGGGGGGCGGAGCACGCTGCGGTCAGCGGCGCGAGTACGCACATCCTCGGGGGGGACATCTCTCTCGGCGCACGCAGCGGGCGGAACGACGGTCGCGGCGACGCGGCCCAGATGCGTCGTGCGCGCAATTTTTCCGGGAGCCAATCAGAATCCGTGTGCCAAGCCTACGTACGCGGCAGCCCGCTCGATCGACCGCTAGCCCGAGCACATCAGGCACGCCTCCTTGTTCTCCATCGAGCATGCGAGCCGGTCGGCCTCCTCCTGGCGGCGGCGCTGGCGCTCGACGGCCGCCTGGAAGCCGCGGTCCTCGGTGTTGTCCGTGCCCGGCCCGTCCTCGGTGACGGTGCCGTCGACGCCGAGGCGGCCGACGCCCTGGACGACCTGCTCGTACGCCGCGGGCGGCGCCTCGGGCGCGGGCGCGGGCGCCGCCGCGCGCGCCTCCTGCGCGGCGTGTGCGTTGGCCGCGCTCGCGTTCGCCTTGGCCTGCACCTGC